ATTTTATTTTATTAATTTATTATATACATTGGGGTTTTCTTAAAGAGTCTTTCAAATATGATTAATCATATATTTATATTTTTATTTATAAAGCTCTAAAATTCTATATTTATTATATCTATATTTATTAATAAAAACTCTATATGGTATTGTAAAATTAAAATATTAGAATTGAATTACGCATTTTCTTAACCTAACCTTTAACCAATATTTACTTTGCCACCTTAAATTATGCTTGTGTCCTGATCCGTTAAAAGAACCAACACCCCCTTAAAAATTTTGTAATCCTATACCCCACTAACTTAAAGTATATCATGCTTTTTAGCTTATAAAATGAGTAAATCATTTTTTCGAAAGTTATCGGCATCGCTTGAAAATGAAACAAAAACCTTAAATTTTAAGTTTAATTAAATATTGAGGTTTTGGTTTCGAAAGAAGTTAATTTCTGTGCCGCGATGAATACATATTTTTAATTAATAATTATAATATTATGCTCTACTATCGAGCACAATTTTTAAATATAAATGCTAAAGGACTATTTTTTGTTTCTTTATATAGATATATATATATCTATATATCTATATATATATATATATATATATATATGTGTGTGTGTGTGTGTGTGTGTGTGTGTGCGTGTGTGTGTGTGTGTTTGAAACGTTTATAAATATATTAGTTTTTTGTGGTGGGGATTAATTATGGAAGAAAAAATTCCGTTTATTTTAATACTGTGGTGTTTGTTTTTCATTGGTCAAATAGATATCATGTGTCATTAACAAGCTTCATTGAAAATGACAGACCAGTAAAATCTTATTTTCCTTATAAGATAAGGAAAATCTTATTAAAAAAACTTACAAAGTAACTTGTCAGCCCTTTATGAGAAATTATGTATTCGAATTGGTTTCCTATAAAAACATACTATTAGGTGACTTTGCAACAGGTTGTCGTCAGTCAATTCAACCTACCGAAATTATAAAGCAATGTGGTTAAATATCAAGAGTCAATACGCACGCATTTGCTTTTTTTCTGACAACTATGAGTGATAAAATTTACAAAATATATTAAATTTCTCCATATCAGACACATTTCTAATTCTATTAAGATCTTAATTAATAAAAATATTTTCAGTGAAAAATGACATTAAAAATGCTGAACTAACTGACACCTTTACGCACACATTCTTCATTGAAAATAAGCAAAGAAATTGCGGCTTTAAATTTAAGTTTATTTACTCTATTAGTTGTGACTATGACCAATTATTGCCATCGCTACAAAATTATTTCTCAGAATTCTTGGAAGTGACATTTCTGAAATCTTATTGGAGCGTAACCACAGAATTAAAGTAGAGCCATTTAAACTTTTATTTTTATTTTGATAGACTTTGTAAGCAATCTTTGGTGTGAGAATCGGAATGGTTGGGGCATAGATAACAGGGGTTTGGCTGTAAAAGAAAGACAAACTCTGGAGTGTTAACATTGATAAGAGTCGGGTGCTCAATTCTGCACGTAGACTTTTTGTGTGGGTGATTGGGTGAGAAGAATGGGATAGGCACGGATAGATCCAAACGGTGAAAAAAAGGCGAGGAGAAAGGAAGATACAAGAAAGATAGCTTGTATAAATTGAAATATGAATGAAAAAGAAGAAATTTAGAAAGAAAATCAGTATAGTTGAAACGACGAGGTTTAGACTGGGTCTAAAAAGAGAGAATGTAGGAAGAAGAACCATAAAAAAGAAAAAAAAAATGAAGCAAGAAGAAGGAAAACTGTGGAGAGAATAAAGTTGGAATTGAAGAAAAAGAAAAAAGGACAAATGGAAAGAAAAAAGAGAAAAAAAGAAAAGAATAAAAGGATAAAGAAAATATAAAAATAAATGAAATGAATAAAACGGATGAAATGAAAAAGAAAAAAAATTGAGTGTATAAATGATAAAGAAGAATATGCAGGAGGTAAAAGAAAAAGAGAACAAACGATATAGAAGTTCTAGTAGAAAAAAGGAGTAAAAAGAAGAGGAGACAAAAGAGGAGAAGGGGTGAAAGAAAAGAAGAAAAAAGAAGAAGCGATAAGAACATCAAGAAGATGTATAAGAAAATGAAGAAAGAAAGAAGAAGAAGAAGCGGAAGAAGAAGAAGAAGAAGAGAAGAAGAAGAAGAAGAAGAAGAAGAAGAAGAAGAAGAAGAAGAATGAATGAATAAGTAGAAGCGAAAGAAATAGAAGAAGAAGAATGAATGGAGAAGAAAAAAGTATGGATAAGAAGAAGATAAAGAATAATAAGAATAAAAATAGTTAAGAAGAAGAAGAATGAAGTTAAAGAAAGTACGGATAAGAAGAAGAAGAAGAAGAAGAAGAAGAAGAAGAAGAAGAAGAAGAAGAGGAAGAGGAGGAGGAGGAGGAGGAGGAGAAAGAAAAGTGGATAAGAAGAAGGAGGAGAAGAAAGAATGTATAAGAAGTAAAAGAAGAAAATGAATGGAGAAGAATAAAGAATGAAGAAAAAGAAGAAAGAATAGAATAATAATAATAATAATAATAATAATAATAATAATAAGAAGAAGAAGAAGAAGAAGAAGAAGAAGAAGAAGAAAGAATGGAGAAGAAGAAGAAGAAGAAGAAGAAGAAGAAGAAGAAGAAGAAGAAGAATGGAGAAGAAGAAGAAAGAATGGAGAAGAAGAAGAAGAAGAAGAAGAAGAAGAAGAAGAAGAAGAATGGGGAAGAAAGTAAGGTAAAAAGGATAATAATGATGAAACTTATCAGTGAAAAGTAAGCTAAGAAGAAATCGAAAAAGTGAAACGACAAGAAATTTCAGGAACGAAATACAAAAGAGAGAAAAAAAATGGAAATCGGCAAGATCTCGAAGAATATGTAGCTTCAAAAACTTGTCTTTCTATTGCCATCATAAGCCACCAAGGATTGATAAGCCGTAAAAAAGAAATCATTCAATATTGCACTCATAAATAATTAAATGCCTATCAGTTTACATTATATGGACGACAAAGTTTGTAAAAATATGTGATATCACGAAAAGAATACTTGAAACAAATACGTTAAAACTCGAAAGGAATTACATAACAGTTATGCGGGGAAATTTTGTCGTTAAAAGACAAAAGGTAAAACATTAATCATTTTAGCACCGATTATATTTGAATCGGGTTTCAATGCTTTTCATCGCTTAACATTTTTATCCTTTACAGATATTCCACCATTTCCCACTTCTAAATAAAATCTTTTTCTGCGTGTAATTTTTTGTACATGCAGAAAAAGATGGTTGGTTGAATTTGTTTACCAGAACATCAATCTTTATGGATTTTTTAATGCCGGAATTTAAATATTTTGAATGCAAAAGATAAATTGTATTGATGATCACTTTGCTGTAAAAAGTATTGTTGTTAATCTGTATAATAAATGCATGTGTCACACTTTTTCAATTTTAATCCCAGAAGCCGTAACCTAACATATCAGACCATTTTGAAATCAGGCTGACTCCTTGAGCAAATTAAAAACATTCTGGACCGAATTCGGAATTACAATCTTGAAATTTTGGATTCCCAATTTTTTTATTTCTACCATTGTTTTCGGCGATTTTTTTCTTTTATTTTAATTGATTTTTGACGAGAAATTTTTTGTACGATAACAATTTTATAAATTGGAAATAAATCTTGGAATAATCGAAATTAATTGCAAAATCAAGCGAAAGTCACCCATGACAAAAAATAATTATTTGTACCAAAAGTAAGGATCTACGTACATCAAATTGTCTTTAAATTAAGTGTCAGCAGAAGAATTATTGTTGAACGTGTAAAATATAAGCTTAAATATTAATGCAATACTTAAATGCAGCGATAAATTTTATATTCTTCTGTAGTTTATTGTTGCCTATCACATCTACTTCTCCCTACCTATTGTGATGAAGGCCCATAAAAGAGCCCTATGGAGCGGCTTTTAAGCTAGTTTTGCTATAAATAGGTATTGCTGGTAATTTTACTATAAAAATGTATTTTTATACGTTCATAGTGTCTTGTTTTTGTTTGAGGGTTCACTATTTGCTCATAGCTGGGACCCTAAAAATGGCTAGCATCCCAGGTTAGGGTGGACCTGGGAAAAACAGCATTTAAGAATTGGTTTCAGCCTCCTCAAAAGCACGAATCTCCTGATCAGAGGCCTTGCTACCGGATGTAGTTTTTCGTCATATCCACCACAATAAAAAAATGGAAGAGATTTATATGAAGGCTTTTATTGCTAGCTATTTTCTCCTATAATTTATATTAACAATTTTCTGCAATTATTCTTCGTAAAAATTGAAAATCTACAGAAAAAAAATAATTGCCAGTGGTCGATTAGGCAATTAAGGGAAGTGACATGTTGAAAAATGATAATATAAAAAAAATACTGAAAGAAACAAGAAAAGCAAAGATTGATAAGGAAATATTGCACTAAATAATATAAAAGAAAGAATGAAAGGAAACAGGCAAAATAGAATAGAAAGAAAATAGAAAAAAGTGAGAGAGAAAGAAAGAGAGATAAGGTAGGAAAGAAAGAATATGAAAAAGAAAGTGAGATCAAACAAAGAAAGAAAAAGAGAGAAAGAATAAAAGAGAAAGAAAAATAAAGGAAGAAAGAAAGAAAGAGAGCGAAAGAAAGTGAAAAAGAAAGAAAGTGCGAAAGAAAAAAGAAAGATGCCAATGAGAGGCACTGTCTGTTGGGGAGACGAAGCTAAAAATGGCGTTTTTTAAAAGCCATCTAATTTGCGCAGGCCTTTTAGCAGTATCGCTATCACTTTTATGACATATGCCCTCTCCACGTCGGCATGGAAGCATTTGGGTCGGCTGTTGCATAAAGCGCATGCCAAAGTCTAAAAAATGTACATTAAAAGAAAAAAAAAACTTAACTTTTATTTATTTATTGACTGTTTTTATAGTGCGAAATTAGAGGTGAGGAAATGGTAGGCAAATGTTGGGTGGGGGGTGGTCGGGTTGTGTCCGCGTGCCGGGACAGAGATAGGGGGCGAAAATGACCGGACCAGAAACACCATGGCCACGTGCGAGACGCCCGTTCCCAATGACGCGTGGTGGCATCGAAATTCACTTCCTCTTGACAATATCCGGTGATCTTGTTTTGCAGATCAAACAGAAAAAGTGAGAGTCACAAAAGACGAAAATAGCGAAATAAGGAAGAAGGAAAAGAGAGAGAAATGTCGAACACGATTCTTATCATACGATGCAGGTAAACAACATCCATCTATATATAGGTGTCTGTTTCTAATCTCTCGAACTCAGTCTGTTCATTATCTATCTATCTATCTATCTATCTATCTATCTATCTATCTATCTATCTATCTATCTATCTATCTATCTATCTCAGTCAGTTTTTCAGATCTCTCCATGTATCTATCTGTCAACGTTTATGCAAATTATATATATTTCCCATTATTTTCGCTTCTTGAATTTAATCCTCTCTGCATGCCTCACTTTTGGCGCCTTAACTTAACTACAATAAAACACATAAGGGGGCGGGGAGGAACTACAGTTAAGAAGATGGCTTTTGCAGATTATTGTAATGTATCCTCATTGAGTTCTACTCATGTTGGCAGCAATCATAATTGAAAAAAATCTCAATGCCTCTGCATGCAGGGTGGCGGGGGATGAGCAATAGATATTTAAATATTTCGAAATCTAGAATATGTTTAGAAGACAAAATCGTAAAATAAAAACTCATGATCTGAATTAAATTCATGAAAACATTCCGTGAAAAAGGAAGGAAGGAAATAAAGAAGAAAAGAAGAAAGGCAACGATGATATTTTTACCTGACCTCAAATAATCGCCTTTTAACATTCAGAAGAATAATGATACTAATTTGATTTAAGAAATTGGACGATATTATATGGATTAATGTCACGAAAGTGTTCATTCATGTTAGATTGTTGGTTGATTTTGTTGAGCGGCATGTCAACCTCTAATCTAATCTAATCTAAATAATTTCAACACAATTTTATGGCTACAGCTGAATATATTTTTCAACGCAATTGTATGCCTTCAACTATAGATAAAATGTGTTATTGATAATTTTACTATAAAACATATTGTTGGTAATTTTACTATAAAATATATGGCTGGTCCTTTTGCTTTAAAATTCTATTGTTGGATTCATAGCTGGTACCCTAACAGGTGCTCCCACCCCGGGTGAGTGTGGATCTAGGAACAAAAAAACATTATTTATTTCCACGCTCCTCAAAACCTCCCTATCTCTTGAAAAGAGATCCTGCTGCCGGATGTAGTTTATCGTTATACCCAGGACTTTAAACTATTTACATTCGGACTATTCTTTCTATTATTATCACAACATTTTGTTGCAATCCAGTCTCTTTCAGGTACGCGCCGATCCGGGTAAATCTCATTTAATTTCGAACTGAGCCATTTATTTAATATACGG